CTCGTTCTTCCATGGGAACCAATAGCCACGTGCGATGATGGATAAGATGAAGCTGCTATCGCACCACGAGCACCACCAGTGGAGTGCTTGGCGCAGTCGGCCTTGCATCACGAATATAGTTGTGTCTGTCACCGCGAACTCGTATGGGTCGGTTGCCCCCATTACCCATTTGTTGCTCTCGGCTGCGTACCAAACGATACATGCAGGAGACGGCGTTAGTGTGCTAATCAGTAAGGAGCGATCATGGTCCTACGTACCATATGCTACGAGTAGTGTGCGAGAATCCCCTCGCCCTTCTCCCCCCCCTCTCCCTTCTCTATCTTTCTCTCTCTCTCTCTCTCTCTCTCTCTCTCTCTCTCTCTCTCTCTCTCTCTCTCTCTCTCTCTCTCTTCGTCTCTTTTTCTTTCTCCTTTTCCGTGTCTTGCTTTGCGGTGTGGGGTGATGGGCAGAGCTCGTCGTTCAGTGATGGCTACCTTTTGTCCAACTTAGTGATGGGTTGGGTAGGCGTGGGCATATGTGTGCCACCGTACCATTCAACCTCCTGCACTCTCTTTCTCTCTCTCCCCCCCTCCTTGGCCTTTTCTTGTGATTCTTGGCGTGGGTGTGCCGAGCCTTGGCACCTCTGAATCTGCCCCTTGGCAGTCCCTCCTTTTGGGACCCCTTTGTCACCTTGCTCTCTCGCTCCTTCCATCCCTCTTTTTTTTTTTTTTTTTGAGCGAGCTTGCACGTGATTTTGCCTCTTGATTTTCCTTCTTGCTGCCATTGTTTGTGGCTTTTCCTTTTGACATTCCTTGAGTTGGCTTGCCAACTCTTCATTTCCAAAGTGCAGCTCCAACCAAGAGCCCGTGATTTAATATGAGGAAGTAAAAACATCTTGCAAGTCCTTTTTAAAAAAATTTCTCATAACAAGAAATACATTTCAGAGCCATCCATCAGCCATCCTGGCCTTAATCTAAGGGTCCCCTGACCTCTTTGAGTCCCTAGGCTGCTCCACAGCCGTGCACCCCCTGGTGCAATCCCCTACGCTCTTTCGGCGAGCGGGGAAAGGGGCATCGCCCTTGGTTACTCCTCACACCACGGGTGTGGGGCCTTGTCCGCCGCGCCCCCCCATGGGGCAGGCGTTTGCCATGTGCCCGGGCTGGCCACAGCGAAAGCAGGTGCCCTTGAAGGCCCTGTTTTGGCATGAGCCTTGTCCGGCACCCTTGTTGCCGATTTCCCCGTTGTCGAGGCCGTTACCCCGCACGGTGCGATTATAGCTCATGCGGGCGCGCTTCGATGCTGCCACGTCTGCCACGGCTAGCTTGTAGGAGCGGGAGGTGAGCACGCTCTTCGATTGATAGAGCTGGAAGCGGTCGGCCGCTTCAAAACCCGCCTCGTCCGCCACCAAGAGCACCTCGAAGCGCTTGTTAATGAGCGTTTCGATTTGAGTGACGTTGGCGAGCGCTCCTTCCGCGTCACCCTGCTGCAGCTGGAGCTCCATGAGCCTGAGGTGGGCTTGGATGGCAGAGAAAACCTCTGCCTGATCACGCACACCCTTGCGGTTGAAAGTGGTAGTTGCGGTTGAGGGAGCGAGCGAGGGGAGTGTGGGGCGAGGGGCATTGGAAAAAATTGGATCGCGGCAGCGAGGAGCCTCACCAGCAGCATCGTCGGACTCGTCGCTGTCTTCGTCGGCGGGTGCCGGAGCGGGGTTCTTCTCGACGCGAGGGGCGAGGGGCGACGACATTTTCTTCCTTCTTGTTATTTTTTTGCAGATGCTGTAACTTCGTCATTGTTAGAAGTCCCCGCAGTTACAGGTGCTTGCTGCTGTAACATCGCCAGCAGTGCCTGGACCTGCGCAGTGGTCAAGGCAAGGGGGCTGGCGTCAGCAAGGGGCCGAGGGTGCCGAGGGTGCCGCTGGCGCGTGCTCCTTGTCGCGTGCGCCAGAGGGGCCGGCCTGGCCGGCCGAAGCGATGATGACAGCCGCGTCAGCGGCTGTCTTTTTCGCCATGTCGCGCGGCTGCTTGGAAGCAGCGCGCGCGGCAGGAAGCTCCTCAGAAGGCGCCGAGGAGGTCGCGCCAAACAAGACTTCGACGCCAGTGGCGAGGTCCTCGCGTGCCTCCTCGGCAGGGCGTTTCGCACGACGCGTGGTTGCCCCGGGCAGACTTCCGGAGTTCTGCGCGCCCGGGGTGTTCGTCGTCTTGTTTCCTTCGCGAATAGAAACGTTGTTGACGGGCGCCATTGAAGCAATGTTGTGCTTAAGTATGTCGGCGAGAAGTGTTGTCGGAGCAGTAAAACGTGGAAGTGACTGAGACTTCGCCAGATTGGACGAGATTGAGCGGAACTCAAACTAAAAATCTGAAAAGAAGAACGTGGGTGAGGCCAAATGGCCTCCAACCCCTCTTTTGTAGCCAAAAGAGGGCGAGTAGCGATGCGACGCTGCCTTTGCTGCGTTGGCAATCGCTTCACTATCACAATACAAAATTTTAGAAAGTGAATACACCTTAAAAAATTATCATATTGTATATCTTGGTGGCATCTGTGTCAAAGCATATGCTTGTTATACATGTGTAGGCTGTAGTGGGGTAGCCAATATGGGGTACAGCCCCTTTTAGGGTTTCATACTTGTACCCAACGCTGTCATAGTTTATTCATTCCTGTCTCTTGATTCTGACATGGTATCAGAGCAATAGGTCCGTAGGACCGTTTTTTTTTCGGGCCCACCTACCGCTACCCCACGACTGTGACTGTGACTGACTGTGCACGTGACGTGCTGCGCTGCGCGCGCCGTCTGCCCGCTGCCTACTGTCTGCTGACTGTGCGATCTGCTGCTGCTTAGAGCGCGTAGACCTAATTCCTGCGCGCGGCTCGTTTTTTGCCCCACGAGTCGCCCACCCTGCCCGAGTCGCGCCTCGGCAGCCCGCGCGGCGCGTTGCAGCCCCGCGCGTCGCGACAGCTGCCCGCGCGTCGCGCTGCAACCCCGCGCGCCGCGACAGCTGCCCACAGAGGCTCAAAGCATATGCTTGTTATACATGTGTAGGCTGTAGTGGGGTAGCCAATATGGGGTAAAGCCTTTTTTAGGGTTTCATACTTGTACCCAACTCTGTCATAGTTCATTCATTCCTGTCTCTTGATTCTGACAATCTGTTAGCTGAATTGCTGGAGTGAATCAGTTGGCTGAGTTAATGTTTTCTCATACCGTAGTTAGCAGAAAGCCATGATTCACATGGTACAGTTTTACAACCAATCTTGTAGAGAATAAAACCGGGTAGCATTACATCAAACCGGGGAGCCTTACTAGTTCCAAGCTGGGGATTTCGTGCCTTCATAATGCAGCTATAAACGGCTTCGCCTCCTTATACTGGTACCGTACTCACCTTCGTGCATTTTTTTTGTTCCTTAATATTAATTATTGCATATCTTAGCACTATGGAAGAATCTGTAGACCGGTTCAAGCATCCTCCCTCAAGCGAAGAACGTATCTTCAGAGACTGAAACGTTGCTTTGACCACGTGGCACTCAGCCACTGAGTTATTCGTTTGTGTCAGTCCGCTTTTCGGGCAATGACACACGTGGCAATTCTGAGTCCACCAGTGAGCCTCGATCCCGCGTGCGCGGTCAGAAATGTACGGTGTATGTACATGGCCCTTTTCCCCAGCATATGCGCTTTCCTGACATCGAAATGCTTTCTTGTCTGTGCCCCACGTTTCGCGTCCGTCACACAACCTCTTAGAAGGGGTCCTTCGAGGACGCGTTATAAGAGGAACGTTTCAGCCATCTGGTCATCATACTGTAACCAGTATCTCGTGCCATATTTCACGAAATTCGTAACGAAGTAATCTGGGTGCAAGGAGTCGTCTTACAGGACTCGAACGAATATTTGCGAGAGCCAGTAGATACCCCTGAAGCAGAAGTTGAACTGTTCGAAGCAAACTGTAGCTTTTTAGTCGAGAAACGAGCTCACTGGATCTACTTGGGAACACAACCGTGGAGGATCCGTCAAGCAAGGCACATTTCGTGGACGACAGACTTTGCTTGCTCAATCATTGTTAGTAGCAACTTTCTTACCTTTTTCACTCATTTCCTGACTGACTTTTTCCATTTCGACACATCTCATCCTACGGCGTTCGTTTGTGTGAAGTGTGTCGGTTGGGCCGTGTCGTGTGCTCGATACAAGATGGGTTCGACAACATTGATAGGAAGCTCGTTATCCGCGCTCAGTAGCAACCGCGTAGTCGGCAGTCTGCATCTGTCGGGAATCCCCGGCGTCGCATGCGACTTAGCGTTCGCGTGCGCATCGCGTTTACTCTCAGATCGTCACTCAACTAGCCGTCGGTTTTCCTTATCTGCACCCGACAGGCATGCGACACCGCTCTTACGTCAGCGACGAAAAAGCGTTCCTAAAGCGACCAATCAGCTGCGAAGCGACGGACGCGTGGCGTCCAATGATAGGCCGTCGACAGATGGACAGAACGCCACCCTTACTAGGGTGGACGAGTTGCGACTTGACAGAGCTGGCACCATCAACAGCCGGGATCGAATCGCGAGTAACGGTTCGTTAGCTCAAGGCGTTTTCGTTGATAGCACTGCTGCAGTGACTTTTGTTGACTCGCCGACCGAGGCCGACACAGGTCGCGAGAAAGACGGAGAAGGGGTCACGGATGACGTGGTGCTGACGTGTACCACGTTCAACATGCTCGCGCCTATATTCAAGCGAATCAACAGAGAGGTATGGTGGGATATCATTCGATGAACTCGTGAGAATCTGCATCTTGCAGCGAGACAGCGAAGCCCTCCTACCGAAAGATAAAATTTTAACAAAACAAACCGCAAAAACGTAGAGAAAAGGCAACGAACACCTTTTCTTCTTCCCGGTTACTTCACGGACCGCTGGGAAGGACAGAGAAAGTCTCAAAAGCTGTGGCTCCATGATTGCATGGCTGCCTCGTTCGCGCCTCGAAATGATGAACCCTCGTTTCTCATGCTCCCCTTCCCCCTCTTCTGGGTACCCGCACCTACCGCAGGGCCAGAGAGAGAGCGAGTTTCGCGAGCTGTGGCTTCCGCGAAGCGAGCGAATTCTGGATACCATAGTGGCGACGGACTCGTCAATCGTGTGCCTGCAGGAGTGCTGGCTGTCGCACCCCGAGTGGGTTCGCCTCTTCGATTCATCTCTCCGTGCTGCTGGTTACCGCACGCTCAAACTGCCCAGAACCAACAACCGGGGCGATGGTGAGTGGGGGCGAACTCTGGCGGAAAATGGTAACCCTATATTCGCCAAGATCGTCCATAATTAGGCTTTCAGGAGTGCTGGCTGTCACACGTGGGTTCGCCTCTTCGACTACTCAAACTGCCCAGAACCAACAACTGGGGCGACGGTGAGTGGGTAGACTGCGAGTTGTGGGGAGTGGGGGGAATTCACGAGCCTCAATGCATGACATGACTTTTGAGTGGAATAAATGTTAGGGTTGGTTCGCCCAACCACGGAACCTATGGCGAAAGTCTCTACGACGGCGGAATGACGGCGAAATGGAAGCGCGTGGATGATTCTAGGTGAAACGGTGGAAATCAGCCTACGGCGTGAGAAGCTGGAGAGAAATCGAGAAGGAACCAAAGAAATGGAGGAAGAGAGAAGGAGAAGCATCGAGGATGAGATCGACGGGGGAAATTGTGGTCTGAGACCAAGGCGCGTTCGAGAAGGTTCCAGATTCGGTCTTGAGGAGTGTTCACCGAATTCGGTTCGGTTCCGTGTGCGACTCGGGGTGAAACGAGGCGCACGCGGTTACTTGGGAAACAAGTGAAGTTACGAATCGCATTTTGTGTCTTGCCTGACTATAAACCTGTTTGTACTCATTCTGGAAATACTACATTGGACAACATTGAGATTCTGAAAATTGCTGAAGTGTGTATTGACAACTTCAAGCAGAGCTGCGCATATCGTTGGATTCGTGAGATCGTGGAGAACACGATAAGCAATAGCAAGTAGACTATTGCCGACTAAGGTGTTTACGATCCTAAGAATAAAAAATGACCATAACGAACAAGCTGAGGCACATGGTGGATGGATGGACTCCCAGCCACTGCTTTTGTCACGTTGATTCTCTCATGCACCAACCGAACCTGCTCTCCCTTCCCCCACCCCGCCAGGTCTCATGATAGCATTGAAGAGCGACCAGTGGCTCGTGGTGGATTACCAGCAGCTGCTCTTTGACTCACGCACGTTGACTAACGTTGACTCACGTTGACTCCCCCATCCCACCAGGTCTCATGATAGCGGTAAAGAGTGAGCAGTGGCACGTGGCGGACTATCAGCAGCTGCTTGACTCACGCACGTTGACTCCCCCATCCCTGCAGGTCTCATGATAGCAGTGAAGCAGGACCAGTGGCACGTGGTGGACTACCAGGAGCGCTCTTCCACGACTGTGGGGCCGGTTCTGTCCTTGCTCTAGCCTTTCCCTCAGCCGGACCTGCTCCATTTTCCCCTTCTCCAGGCTTAATGATCGCTGTCAAGAGCGACCAGTGGCACGTGGTGGACTACCAGCAGCGCTCTTCCACGACTGTGGGGACCTGCTCCCTGCCTCCACCCATTCCTGGCTGGCCCCTCCCCAACCAAACCTGCTCTCCCTTCCCCCCATCCCTCAGGCTTAATGATAGCGGTGAAGAGTGACCAGTGGCACGTGGTGGACTACCAGCAGCTGCTCTTCCACGATTGTGGGGACCGCGTTGCTCAGATCGTACGGCTGAGATCCAAGGGGCGCCTGGGGGGCAGGCCGGGGCGGGAAGGGAGTGAGGGAGCGGAGGGAGAGGAGGAGGATGTGCTGGTGGTGAACACGCATCTGCTGTTTCCGCATGACGCCAACTCCAACATCATCCGCCTCTGCCAGGTCAGCCACTGCCAGGTGTATTGTGCCATGTAGGCCTCTGCCATGTAATCGTCTGCCACACGAATATCAAGGCACCAGCATATGCATTCGAGAGCATCTCACTGCTCTGCTCTCACGGGCGCGCATGTGCTCTGCTTTGCACCCACAACCGAATTGCGCTGCTCTGTCATAACTGTACATTCGCGCTTGTATGCCTTCTCTGTGTTTCTCTTTTCTACACCCCGCCAGGTGTACAAGCTGTTGGAGCGAGTGGAGCAGTGCCGGACAGAGCAGGCTGGCAGACCGGCGCCTGTCATCCTGTGCGGGTACGTACGTGCACTCCCCATTTCATTCCTCTCATCTCATTGCATCCTGTCTGTGTCCGGTTGGTGCACGCTCGTCAGCTTTATCCTCATCTGACCCAAATCTCTCACGCTCTCAGCTCACCTTATCATTTCCCGCTGCCATCCACGTAGACTGTCCACCCAAGTATGCTCGACCTGACTCCCATCTCTTTGAAAGAGGTACTCTTCAACCTTCTCCATCTCTCTCTTCCTCCTCTTCTCCCTCTGTGTCACCCCTCCCAGCGACCTCAACGGCACCAAGGAGGGCACCGTGTAGAAGCTGCTGCGTCAGTGTTGCTCTGCGCACATGCTCTCTCCACGCTCTCTCTCATGCACTCCTTTCCCTTTTTCCCCCCTTGTCTTCTCCCCTCCCAGCGATCTCAACGGCACCAAGGAGGGCAACGTGTACAAGCTGCTGCGATCAACCCTTGGCTCACTGCTGCTTCACCTTTCCCCCCTTCCCCCTCCCCACCCCATTTCTCCCATCAGCGATCTCAACGGCACCAAGGAGGGCAACGTGTACAAGCTGCTGCGATCGCAGGGCTTCCTTTCCTCCTATGACACGGCGCACCACCTCAATGACGTGGACGAGACGGTGGGTGACGTGGATGGTATCGTGGCTGACGTGGATGATAAGGTAGCTCTGTTTCCTCCTATGACCTGGCGACCCTCCTCAAGACGTGGATGAGAGGATAAGTGACGTGGATGAGTTGAGAACATTGCTGACGTGGATGAGAGGGTAGGTGTGGGCGAGAAGGCGGATGAGCTGAGCAGGGTGGCTGCTGCTGAGTTGTTGCATTTGCCCCTCTCTCTTACCTGCCCCCTCCGCCTTTGCCCCTCCGGTGTTGCCCCTCTCTCTGCAGTGGGTGAGCCATCGCAGCCACAGGGGCGGGGTGGACTATGTGTGGATGCTGCTGCTCTAGAGTGACTACTGCATTTGCTTCTTCTCAACCCCCCGCCGTTCCTTTCTTTCACTCCACCCCCCGCTGCTACCCCTTTCCACAGTGGGTGAGCCATCGCAGTCACAGAGGGGGTGTGTGCGGGGTGGACTATGTGTGGATGCTCAGTGTGTTGATTGCATTGCATATCCTCCTCCTCTCTCCTCTCCCCCTACTTCCCGTCTCTCTTGTCTCAGTGGGTGAGTCATCGCAGCCATAGAGGGGACGTGTGTGGGGTGGACTATGTGTGGATGCTCAACGCCCGCACGCCCATGAGCAATCCCGTCTTGAACTGGCGCAAGGCCGTGTTTGGGTTGATCAAGGTGAGAGGCAGTATAGCATCACACGTCAATCTCAGAGAGCCTACACTCTCTGCAGCCCGTACTACTCTGTGTGGGGTGGACTATGTGTGGATGCTCAACGCCCGCACACCCATGAGCAACCCTGTCTTGAACTGGCGCAAGGCCGTGTTTGGATTGATCAAGGTACGCGAATGAGAGGCAGCATAAGCTTTCATTAACAATGAGCCAGTCAAAGTCGGTCATTCATAGTGAATTTTAATCCTCTTTTCCTCCCCTTCCATCCCTCTCTCCCCCATGCCCACCCCCCCTCCCCCTCTCCCCTAACCCACTCTCCCTCCCCCATCCCACTCTTTCACCCATCCCAATGTCCTTCGTCCCATTCTGTGAGCCACTTTCCCGATTGAACACACCGTGTATTTCCTCTGAAGCCTCCTCACATGCCATTCCTCACATGCCATCTCAACCCCCGCTCTCCTACTCTCCCACTCCCCTTGCCCTTTCCCCACCAGTCCAAGCTGCTAGCAGCAGGGATCACAGACGCACGGCACGCGTTTCAGTTCTTCGTGACAGCAGGTGACTCATCCCCAATCGAACACACTGTGTGATTTTTCTGAAGCCTCTTCTAAAGCCTCAGCTCTTTCCATGCCATCCCACCTCCCGCTCTCCCGCATCGCACTCCCCACTCTCCCACACCCACTCCCCCTGTTCCCCATCCCACCAGTCCAAGCTGCTAGCAGCAGGGATCACGGACGCACGTCACGCGTTTCAGTTCTTTGCGACAGCAGGCGACACGTCCCCGTTTGAACACACCGTGTGTTTCACCTCGGACCCAAACGCCACCGACGCTGCTGACGTCAGCATGGACTTCGGGCAACAGCAGAATGATGACCCAGCGACCGAGGAGCAGGAGGTGGAGGAGGTGGAGGAGGATGAGGAGGATGAGGAGGCGTGGAGGTATTACGACAGTGATGAGGAGGGGATGGAGAGGCAGGAGTGCTGCATCACTGCCTTCACCATTGAGGACTTTCAACTGGCCGTGGCTCAGGTGGGTCGTTGGACTGGGGCAAGTGTCACCTGGGAAGGGTAACTGGGCCAGGTAAAAGGAGGGGGAGGGAGTGGGAGGCAGGAGTGCTGCATCACTGCCTTCACCATTGAAGACTTTCAACTGGCCGTGGCTCAGGTGGGTCGTTGGACGTGTCACCTGGGAAGGGTAACTGGGCCAGGTAAAGGGAGGGCGAGGGGGAGGGAGTGGGAGGCAGGAGTGCTGCATCACTGCCTTCACCATTGAAGACTTTCAACTGGCTGTGGCTCAGGTGGGTCGTTGGACTGGGGCAAGTGTCACCTGGGAAGGGTAACTGGGCCAGGTAGAGGGAGGGGGAGGGAGGGAGAGGCAGGAGTGCTGCATCACTGCCTTCACCATTGAAGACTTTCAACTGGCCGTGGCTCAGGGTGGGGTCGGACACGGACGGTGACGGGTGGGCGGACTTCAACGAGTTTCATACTTGTGCCAAACCTACATGCTTCCCTGCTCTCTCTTTCCCCACTCTCCCATCCGTCCAGCTCGGTCTCACGGGAGACAACTCTATATGGCTGACGGAGGTGGAGGTGGCAGAGCTGATGCAAGGCGCAGACACGGATGGGGATGGGTGGGTGGACTTCAACTAGTTTCAGGATATGATTCAAACCTACATGCCCCCCTCCACTCTCTTTCTCCCACTTCTCTTTCCTGCAGCTTGGACTCACGGGGGATAATTCAATAGGGCTAACCGAAGTTGAGGTTGCAGAGCTGATGCAAGGGGCGGACATAGACGGGGACGGTTGGGTGGACTTCAACGAGTTTCAGGACATGTTCCAGCAGCCCACGTGGGACTCGCGGGTCGATACCCTCAAGCAGTCCATGGCTGCTTCGCTTGCTGCCTCCCTCGCCGCCGCTTCTGCTGCTGCTGCTGCTGCTGCTGCCCCTGGTTCCGCCGCCTCTCCTTCTGTCACTGCTGCTGCTGCCGGCACTGCTGCTGTTTCTGTCAGTGCTGCAACTTCTGCTGCTAGCCCCTCTGCTGCATCCTCACCACAACAGCAGAAGCAGCAGCGCTGGGAGGAGAAGGAGCAGGCAGTGCTGCAAGGGGAGCAGCCGTATTGGGAGAGCCGCAGGGGGCTCAATGTGGAGGGGGAGGCGGGCCAGGGCACCAACCGCTGTAGAGACGCCAGCGGTGCTGTTGGTGATGCTGATGCTGGTGGTGCTGCTGTTGGTGGTGCTGCTGGTGTTTCTGTTGATGCTGCCGGTGCAGGTGCAGCTAAGGAAGTTACTGGTGGTGCAGCAAGTGTTCAGGCAGGAAATGAACAGGTGGAGGAGTGTGAAATAGAGGGGAGCGATGGGGGGCTGAGTCTGGCGGTGGTGAAGGCGTCGTTGTTCCCGCCTGAGATGGAGGAGGGGAGGTGGCCGGAGGATTATACGCTGTCAGATCATGCGGTGCTGACTGTGATGTTTGGGAGGGAGAGAGTGGATGAAGTGAGCAAGTGAGACAGCATTTTTTTTTAGGGAATGACCCCTCACCCTCATGTGGACTAACAATTTTTTTTGGAGCGCAGGGCGTTATAATAATATTAAAATTTGTTTCCTGCCAGTTTTTTGCTGTAGGCATTGTACAAGAAACTGGGGGGTTATCATATGATGCAGAAACATTCATTCTGATAGGTCTATTTGTATTCATCATAAGCTCAGAATGTGCGCAATGATATTTTTCCCCTTACCAGACTCTTGAGAGGTTGCGCGCTACTAAGGCCGCGGGCGTCTTATATCGCATTCGGAGAGATCAAGGGTGCTGCTAGGGTTTCCTTCTCCTTATCATGACGTCAGTCGCGCTTCGCTCTGTGCTTCGCTCCTTACCTCGACAAATACACCTAGCGACACGTAGCACAGTCTTGCAGCAGCCATCAGCCCAGATCAGACCCGCTATAGTTCCTGCAACGAAAGCAATCCTTTTTGGGGCACTTCTGGAGCACTTACGGAGCATTTAGGGAACACTTACGGGAGACCACTTCGTAGTAACTAGTGGCCGGCAGGTTTGGCTCGCGATCGGTTTAAGTGAGACGCTTCGGATTAGGTTTCGGATTAGGTAGTTGATTGCGTTGTCGTGTGTAGGATTATCTGCTGTCGTTGACGTAAAATGGCTCGTTTCTGGCTCTCCGCGATGACATCGTAGCCATGTTACCTTCTTTCGCGAACAGACCCTCTGTGATTTTTTTCGTGAGCCGACCAGTAACCTCTCGCTAGTTTCGTCGCACCCTGCCTCAGTCCAGCTTCCCAATTGCGGTCTCAATTCAGCTGCTTCTTAGTCGAGGGTTTGAATCTTCTCACCTGATTTGCCGCTTGAAGTTGTCGCGTGCTGAATCTTCGTCCAATAAGAGCTCATGCTCTTTGGCGGGAAAGAATTTCAGCTGCCCTGGAGCAGAAATAGCCGCAACAGCAATAGCAGCAGCAGCGGGAGCAACAACAGCAACAGTAGCAGTGGTAGCACCAGCAACAAAAGAAACAGTAGCAGCATCACCAGTAGCAACAGCAACAACCGCAGCGGCAGCAGCAGCAGCAACATATTCAGCATCATCAGCGATAGTCTCCTTACCGACAGACCCAGACCTACCAGCATGGCCAACGCCGGCGGCGGCGGAGCGGGGGGGCGCGGAGGTTCCGCGCGCGGGGGGTCCGCGCTGGCGCAGGAGCTGCTGCTGTACGTGTGCAGCGCGGGGATCAGCGCGCTCGTGCTGATGTTCACGTTCCGCCAGCTGGACCCCAACCGCGCGCAGGCGAAGCTCGCCAAGCAGCGGAAAAGGGAGATCGCCAAGAGACTGGGTCGCCCGTACATCGAGACCAACACTTATGAGGTGGGTCCGCACTCGGGGGACTGCGCGCGGATGGGTCCACGCCGGCAGGAGGGGGGGGGGGGAGGAGCGGGAGGGTTCTGGTGCTGTACGTGTGCGGTGCGGGCATCAGACCAACACGTACGAGGTGGGTGTTTACGCACGTGTCAAGATGAGTTTTTAGTGGACCCAGAACGACCCCAACCGCGCGCAGGCCAAGGTTGCCGCGCAGCGCAAGAAAGAGACCGCGAAGGGGCTCGGTGGGCCGTACATCCGGACAAATACGTATGAGGTGCGGCAAGCCGGTCGGTTCCCAATTCTGTTTGATCGAGTAGGTATCCCTCTTGATCCCTCCCCATGGCTCTCTATCCCTCTCTATCCCTCTCCATGCTTCTCATTTACCCTCTCTCCTCTCCATCTCTCCATCTCTCACTCCCCTCCATCAGGACGTGATAGCCAACGATGTCATCAACCCACAGGACATCCACGTCACCTTTGAATCCTTCCCTCCGCCTATCCCTCTCTCTCCCGCTCTATCCCTCTCTACGCCTCTCCATCCTTCTGTACCCATCACATCAGGACGTGATAGCCAACGATGTCATCAACCCACAGGACATCCACGTCACCTTTGAATCCATAGGCGGCCTACAGCACGTGAAGGCGTCTTTGCACGACCTCGTCATTCTGCCTCTCCAGCGACCAGAACTCTTTGCCCAAGGGCGATTGCTGCGGTGAGTGTGGGTTGAGTGTGGTGGTGCAAATTAAATTGGCAAGACATTTGGATGAGCTCCATAGGCGGCCTGCAGCACGTGAAGGAGTCTCTGCACGACCTCGTCATTCTTCCCCTGCAGCGACCGGAGCTCTTTGCCCAAGGGCGATTGTTGCGGTGAGAATGGGTGTGGTTTGTTGCTGTAGCGCGCTTGAGATTGATGGCCTGAGAGTGCACTGCACTGCAGCACGTCAAGCAGTCCCTTCACGACCTCGTCATTCTCCCTCTGCAACGACCGGAGCTCTTTGGGTGAGCTCGATCGGCGGCTTGCCTTGCAGCACATCAAGCACCTCGTGATTCCCCCCCTGCACTGCAACGACCGGAGCTCTTTGGGTGAGCTCGATCGGCGGCTTGCCTTGCAGCACATCAAGCACCTCGTGATTCCCCCCCTGCACTGCAACGACCGGAGCTCTTTGGGTGAGCTCGATCGGTGGCTTGCCTTGCAGCACATCAAGCACCTCGTGATTCCCCCCCTGCACTGCAACGACCGGAGCTCTTTGGGTGAGCTCGATCGGCGGCTTGCCTTGCAGCACATCAAGCACCTCGTGATTCCCCCCCTGCACTGCAACGACCGGAGCTCTTTGGGTGAGCTCGATCGGCGGCTTGCCTTGCAGCACATCAAGCACCTCGTGATTCCCCCCCTGCACTGCAACGACCGGAGCTCTTTGGGTGAGCTCGATCGGCGGCTTGCCTTGCAGCACATCAAGCACCTCGTGATTCCCCCCCTGCACTGCAACGACCGGAGCTCTTTGGGTGAGCTCGATCGGCGGCTTGCCTTGCAGCACATCAAGCACCTCGTGATTCCCCCCCTGCACTGCAACGACCGGAGCTCTTTGGGTGAGCTCGATCGGCGGCTTGCCTTGCAGCACATCAAGCACCTCGTGATTCCCCCCCTGCACTGCAACGACCGGAGCTTCGTGCTCAAGGGCGATTGCTGCGGTGATTCCTTTGCATAACTGCAGCCGGAAGCCTAAGCCAAGGTGTGCAGAGTGGTGCTGTGCTCCTCACACTTCTTTTTAAGCCGTCCACCTCACCTCGGTTATTTATGCCTTGTACCCAATCTCTCCCTCCCCTCCCTGCACGTGCATGCACGCATGCGTGCTCCCTCCTCTCCATGCCCGTGTCCGGGTATTCTGGGTGTTCTGGTGCATTGGGGTGAATTTTGAGGCGCCTCAAAATTCACCTCAATGCACCCGTGTCCCCAGAAGGGTGTTCTGCTGTTCGGGCAGCCAGGCACGGGCAAGACGCTGCTGGCGAAGGCAATTGCCAAGGAGTGTAGAGCGGTGCTGTGCTCATCACACGCTTTCAGTGCCTTCCACCTCAGTGATTTATGCTTTGTACCTGCTCCCAATCTATCCCTCCCCTCCCTGCACGTGCATGCATGCATACATTTCCTCCCTCCCTCCCCTCGCTCCCCATGCATGCATGCAGACCACAGAAGGGTGTGCTGCTGTTCGGCCCGCCAGGCACGGGCAAGACGCTGCTGGCAAAGGCGATTGCCAAGGAGTGCAGAGCGGTGTTTATCAATGTCAGAATCGCCAACCTTATGAGCAAATGGTTCGGGGATGCGCAGAAGCTAGGTGCGTTGTTTTTTTTGGTTTAGGAGGGGAAGGAAAGGAGAGGAGGGGGAAGGAAGGGGTGCTTGAGACGTCTCAATATCTGTGCTGGCAATGGCGATTGCCAAGGAGTGCAGAGCGGTGTTTAATGTCGGAATTGGCAGCCTTATGAGCAAATGGTTCGGGGAGTGGGGGGGGTGGGTTAATTTTGAAAGTGAACATGAGAACGAGCGCCTAATCCTCATATTTGCTACTTTTTTAACCTCTGTTTCTCTCCTGATGGTGACGAGGAAAGCGAGGACTAGGAAAGAAAACGAGTGGATGCACCGGTTTTAAGGTGCCCCTTTCAATTCTCATCAAAGCAACAACCCTTCTCGTGTTTCTCACTTCCCCTGTTTCCGTCACCTTCCCCTCTCTCCCTACAGTCACAGCGGTGTTCACTTTAGCACACAAGCTGCATCCAGCCAGCCATTATCTTTATCGACGAGGTCGAGTCTTTCCTGGGGCAGAGGAGAGGAGGCAGCCTTATCGCGTAGGAGTAACCAATCTCTTCTTGGTTTTCTCACTTCCTTTGTCTTTCGCCCCTTTCTTGTCTATCCTTACAGTCACAGCGGTGTTCACGCTACGCTAGCCCACAGATTGCAGCCAGCCATCATTTTCATCGACGAGGACGAGTCCTTCCTGGGGCAGCGCAGGCAAACGATCAGAGAAAAAGACATTGAGTCCATTATATCCCTTGCTTCCTCTGTCTCCACCCGTTTCTTCCTTCCCCCTTGTTACAGTCACAGCGGTGTTCACGCTAGCGCACAAGCTCCAGCCAGCCATTATTTTCATTGACGAGGTGGAGTCCTTCCTGGGGCAGCGGCGGAACCACAGACAGAGTGATTTATCCCCTCCCTCCCCCTTCCCTCCTTCCATGCTCATATTACCTTTCCCCTCCTTACAGTCACAGCGGTGTTCACTTTAGCGCACAAGCTGCAGCCAGCCATCATCTTCATCGACGAGGTGGAGTCCTTCCTGGGGCAGCGCAGACAGTCAGAGCACAAGATAGCAACTTGCTCTTTGTTCTCATCTCACTGCCTCTGTTCCACCCGTTGTACTTTGTTCCTTACAGTCACAGCGGTGTTCACATTAGCCCACAAGCTGCAGCCAGCGATTATTTTCATCGACGAGGTGGAGTCCTTCCTGGGGCAGCGCAGACAGTCTGTCAGAGCAACAACAGCAATCTATTCCCTCTTGATTTCTCACTTCCTCTGTTTCCGCCCGCCCCTTCACCCTCTCTCCTCCTTACAGTCACAGCGGTGTTCACACTAGCGCACAAGCTGCAGCCGGCCATTATTTTCATTGACGAGGTGGAGTCCTTCCTGGGGCAGCGGCGAAACACGGAGCATGAGGCGGTTACCAGCATGAAGACCGAGTTCATGTCCCTGTGGGATGGTTTCAGTACCGACGGTAAGTGGCTAGCCAGTGAGTGCGTGCGGTGGTAACTTGACTGGAGTGCTTGCAGTAGTTTGAAGAGACACGGGGCAGCGCAGGAACACGGAGCACGAGGCGGTGACGAGCATGAAGACGGAGCTCATGTCCCTGTGGGATGGCTTCAGCACTGATGGTGAGTTGGGGGGTGGGTTAGGAGAGGCTAGGTGATTGAGTGCATGCTGTGTGGGATGCATGCAATGGTTGAGTGAGTGACATAAGGCAGCAGAGGAGGCAGACGGAGCATGAGGTGGTGTTGTTGATGTCCCTGTGGGACGGCTTCAGCACTGACGGTGGGTGGGAGGATGGGAGTATGGGTGGGAGTGCGGGTTGGCGGGTGGTTGGATGGCGGGTGGGAATGTAGGTGGGTGGGTGGTTAGGTGGGTGGTTGGTTGGGTGGTGAGCAGCTGTTTTGAGTGTGATTCGCTAAATGGGTGGGTGAGAGAGTGTTGACAAGCCAATGTGTGCATGCGGCACTGAGTGAACCAATAGAGAATTAGGTGCTGGGTGGTTGGTGATAGATGCCAAGTGAGCAATTCGGAAGCTGGATGAGGTCATTCTCTGGCGCCTGCCATCACACTCCCGTAGGCATGAGCACTCGGCCCGGCCCGACCCGACCCGACCCGACTTGTCCGGGCCAGCCGGGTTCCCGGGTCGGGTCGGGCCGGGCCGACCTCGGGCCAAGGTTGGCAAGGGGCTGACCCGACCCATAGGGACAAATTCGGGCCAGGACTGACCCGTCCACGGGTCGGGTCGGGTCGGGTCGGGCCAGGCTGACCCGCCCCTGTATAGGGGGCATGACTTTGTGTTTAGTTCTAGTGAAAAATCTGCCCCCACTGAACGGGCCCGCACCTGTGCTCGCGGCCGCCCCTACACTCTGCACGCGACCCCCTTGCACCACTACGAAATGGAGCTATGATAGGTGCTGGGCGCGCCTATTAACAGTCGCAGGCCTAGGCCGAGCCGTGCAGCTTGTACATCGCGTCTATTAAAAGTACTTAGAAATGTCAGATAACAAACGCGAAATTGCGTCCTACACTAGCACAGAAGCGCGGTTTCCCTAAACTACAGGTTAACGATGTAACAGTACTTAGAAATGTCAGATAATAAGGTTTCGTTGGCTGGAACCTACTAGTTACTATGCTTAGGTGACATAGTTGCTGAACTTAAGCTACTTGGCGTGGGGAATTATTCCGATGTTGAGGGGAACAAATTCCCCTCGACACCAAATTCGTTTAGGGTTCACGACCCCACACTGTCGAAATCGGGTCGGGCCTTGTCCTGACCCGAAGTCGGGTCGGGTCAAGCCTGACCCGAAACCCGGCCCGGCTCGGGCCGAGTTCCATTCTCGGGTCGGGTTTTTGCCCGGGTCGGGTCGGGTCGTCCCGCACGGGGCAGGCCAATGAAACCTTTGACCTGACCCGGGCTAAACCACGGGTCGGGTCGGGCCGGCCCGACCCGAGCGGGCCCCTTGCTCATCCCTACTCCCGTCCAAGCAAGAGTAAAATGCCACCAACACATTCTTCCTTCCCTTGGCGCGCGTGATGGTGCTGGCGGCCAGGCCACCAACCGCCCCTGGGAGCTGGAAGAGGCCATTCTCAGACGCCTGCCCCCTTCCTCTCTACCCCACCACTCCCTCCCGCATTTCTCCCTGTAATCATGCAGACACGGCGAGAGTAATGGTGCTAGCAGCTACTAATCGCCCCTGGGAGCTGGACGAGGCCATTCTCAGGCGTCTGCCTCGCCATTTCGAGATTCCCCTGCCGGATTTGGCCGGGCGCACCAGCATTCTGGAAGTGATCCTGCGGGTATGTGATTTGTGAAGCCGGGTACGATTGGTAGGTTTTGAGTCAGCTGTCGCTATTCGACTTTTGAGGCGCCTCAAAGAGCTGTCGCTATTCAGGCATTTTGAGATTCCCCTGCCGAACCTGGCAGTCCTTTTGAGTCGACTCAAAAGTCACCTCTTTTGAGTCGACTCAAAAGTCACCTCGTTACAATGGCATACAATTGGTAGGTTTTGAGTCAGCTGTCGCTATTCAGGCACTTTGAGAGATTCCCCTGCCGGACCTGGCAGTCCGCACCGCACCAGCAGTCTGGAAGTAATTCTGAGGGTATGTGTCTCGTTAAGAGAGTGTGAGTGTGCGTCCATGTGACAATAATGTGGTTCACCTGGCAATAGGCAACTATTGGCTCTACATGACCCCGGCCAACCTGGCCAGTCGCTTTTGAGTCCACCCAAAAGCGTTCTGAGGCTGCTATTGGCCCTACAAGACCCCGGCCAAACCTGGCCAGTCGCTTTTGAGTCGACTCAAAAGCGTTCTGAGGCAACTATTGGCTCTACATGACCCCGGCCAAACCTGGCCAGTCGCACCTGCATTGTTTTGAGGCGAATCATAACCTGCATTGTTTTGAGGCGAATCATAACCTGCATTGTTTTGAGGCGAATCATAACCTGCATTGTTTTGAGGCGAATCATAACCTGCATTGTTTTGAGGCGAATCATAACCTGCATTGTTTTGAGGCGAATCATAACCTGCATTGTTTTGAGGCGAATCATAACCTGCATTGTTTTGAGGCGAATCATAACCTGCATTGTTTTGAGGCGAATCATAACCTGCATTGTTTTGAGGCGAATCATAACCTGCATTGTTTTGAGGCGAATCATAACCTGCATTGTTTTGAGGCGAATCATAACCTGCATTGTTTTGAGGCGAATCATAACCTGCATTGTTTTGAGGCGAATCATAACCTGCATTGTGCCCGTGATCCTGCGAGTATGAGCGCGTCCTCTCACTCATGGAGCTGTTGAAAAGCTATGAGCGCGTCATGTCTCTATCCTTGCTTCTCCTTGCCTCTCCTCTTGCCTTGCCTCTCCTTCTCTCCCCTTCTTTTCACCACCAGGACGAGGACGTGGATGAGGACTTCACCTGACAGAGGTCGCCTCCCTGTGTGCGGGGTTCAGCGGTTCCGACCTCACAGAGACCTCGTGTTCTCCGCCCTGATTCCTCCCTGCCCCTTCTCCTCTCAGGACGAGGACGTGGATGTCGCCTCTCTGTGTGCCGGGCCGGCTACAGCGGGCCGGACCTCACAGAGCCGTTTCCTGTCTCATTGCTCGTCGTCTGCCCTCCTCTGTGTCGCCGTACAGGACGAGGACGTGGATGAGGACTTGGACTTGCAGGAAGTCGCGTCTCTATGTGCCGGGTACAGCGGGTCGGACCTCACAGAGCTGTGCAAGCAGGCGGCATACCTGCCCTTACACGACTTTCTGGAGGACGAGCGAAGAGCGCTGCAGGGGAAGGGGAAGGTGAGAGGGGAGGGGGGGTACAAGGGCTGTGAGAGTGAATTGCTATTCACAGAGCTGTGCCAGCAGGCGGCGTACCTACCCCTGCACGACTTTCTGGAGGAGGAGCGGGAGAGCGCTGCAGGGGAAGGGGAAGGTGAGCGATGGGGGATGGGAAGGGGAAGGTGAGCGATGGGGGATGGGAAGGGGGATGGGCGAGGGTAGACAAGAAGGGAAGGGGCAGGTCGTCATTCACAGAGCTGTGCCAGCAGGCTGCGTACCTGCCTCTGCACGATTTTCTGGAGGTGAAGAGGAGAGCACTGCAGGGGAAGGGAAAGGTGGGAGATGGGGGAGAGAGGGAGAGGGAGAGGGTAGAAGATCCGGGAGCCACCAGGGGGTGCGTGAGAGTGAATTGCTGTTGACAGAGCTGTGCAAACAGGCGGCCACCTGCCTCTGCGTGGCTGTTTGGAAGGTGAGAGGAGAGAGATGTGTCTGTTGGATTGGTTAGGCTTTTAGAGAGTTTGCTGTGTATCCACACCCCTAACCAGTCGCTGTTAACTTTTTTTTTCTAAGCACCTTGAAATCGTCATGCTTTTTTTCTAGGTTTGATCCCCCATTCTTCCCCATGCTTTTTCTCCCTCTCCCTTCACCCCCCCTCCCCACCCCCACTTTCAACAGGAGCCCACGTCCCAGCGCCCCCTTGCCCGGGCAGACTTCCTCCGCGTGCTCAGCGAGTCCCGCCCGTCCCGAGACGCCGCCTTTGACTATCTGCGCAAGCGCAGCAACAGCAGCGCCAGCCTGCCACACCTGGGGGAAGACCCTACAGCTGCCTCTGCCAACTTCCCAGCATACCCGTACCAAAATGGAGGGGCGCACACGCCGCCTGCTAGTCAGTTCGGTGTTCCCTCTCCCCCCATGGCTGCTGCGGGGCAGCAGGCGGATTTGATCCGGCTGCTGTTTCAAGCAGCAGTGGCGTCGGCTCTGCAACCACAAGGGATGCAACCACAAGTGTCACAGCCGCAGACCATGCAGCAGAGTGTGCAGCAGCAAGGGGTGCCCCAGCAGGCCTTGCAACCACGTGAAGGGGAGTTGGGCTCCGGAAACAGTGCTCCTGCCGGTGCTGGTTCCGCTGATGCTGCTGGTGCTGCTGTTGGTGTTGGTGGTGGCGACGCGAACGGCAGTGATGTTTCTGGTGATAGTGGAAGGTAGCAGTATGATGAGGTGCAGGGAGAAGGAGTAATTGGTGCTGGCAGCTGGGTAAATGTGTCGGATCAAGCGCCATTTTGAAACGGCTCAAAAGTTATCTTGAGTCGGTTTAAAAGTCGTTCCGAGTAAGCCTAATCCAAACGATTGGGGAGAATGGTTGGCTATTGGTGATGGTGATGTGCGTGCTGCATTGTTGTAACACAGGCGTACCACTGCTGTAGGCACTTCAAGCACAGTTGAGGTGCCGCAGCACATATCATTGTGCTTCTCTTTGGGCACTCTGATGCAACACGCATTTAGCTACACCTTTTTTTGTTCAGGTTTGTATTTTGCTAGATGGTTTTGACGATGGGATGGGATGGGAAGCTTGTGTGGGGCAAATGCTAAATAAGGGGAGTTTGCAGTATTGATTCCATTAATAGTGTTGCCCGGTAATTGTACCGTACTGGCGAGTAATGCAGGTGAGTTCCATATACATTGTACGGTAGTACCCCCAGATTGAAATATGATTTCGCTTTCGTGCGTGCTTGGGTGGTTGGTGTACATCATGCCCATTGCGGAAGTTCACTTGGGGTGAGACAAAGTTCTGTATTGCAATCCGCTATAGCGAGTTATCGGACTCGCTATTGGAGATTGGATTCCTTCGTCAACCTGTCGCAATTGCAATAGCGCATATTTGTTCCAGACAGTATCTTGTGATATTTTCTGGACCATGATGTGCTGGACGATAAAGCAATATCACCCTCGCTGTGTTGTGGGAACTGGTTCAACTTGCAGCCTTGTTGGCCAATAGTGATCGCTTTTGGAAACGCGCTGTCGGATTTCCAGCAACGGAACTCGTCGCAAATCTCAAGGACAGCCATCCTCCCAAGACAGTGGTTGGCAAGCAGAACACGGGATAAAGCAGGAATCATTGCCATGTCCAAACCCTCTTTTCTCCTTCTGGTAGAACAGCTCACAGGATAACTTCTTTCGTTCCCCATTGACCATCCATGGCGTGCCTTAGCTTCTCCTTCCGTTCCGTGACCGTCATTGGCGCTCCTAGCACCTCCTTCTCCCAGCTCTACCGATTTCAGGCTCCTCCCGATCACGGCGGTAACGGAACTAGTTGCTAATAGGCTACCGGGTTGAGCATATTGAATCCGTCTTGGATCTTAGAATTATTCCTAAGATCCCAAGAGGACGGAACTGGGGGCAACGGAGAACCAGGAGCCCGCTAGGTCAATGATAGCGGGCTAAGAGACCAGCATTGCCGTTCTACGCTCGTCAAAGCATGGCGGGGTGAAGAGTCTTCGTACTTCCTCGTGGTCTACTGAAGTTCTGATGGCCTTATATAAGACGACATAGATACGCTGTTTTCCTTCGCCCTCGTACTCTCGTCTTTCAAGGCTTACGCGCTCAGGAACGTTAGGACTCGCGCACCTATTTCGCATTCACACATTGCTTCCTTACTCGTTCCGCATTTATTGCACCAGACGGCCTTGGTAGAATAATAGAAAAGGGCTAGCACCTGCTGCAGAATCGGTCGGGCCATCTGCCTACCAAAACAGCTGTACTCCTCAGGAGCCTCCTCAGGCGTTTTTTCAGGAGATATTGCAGCAAAGACTCTCCATTCGAGCCCTCGGGCCTAGTGCTGCAGTTCGTCTCGTCTAAAGCTTATCGCCGACCAGAATGGGGAAGAGTAAGTTTATCATTTTATCCTGCTCTTGCGCTTTCTTTCAGTTGTTGTTGTTGTTGTTGTTGTTGTTTTTTTTTTCTTTCTTTCTTTCTTTCTTTCTTGCTCTTCAATAGAGTTTCTAAGTAGCTACTGCAAGAACTTAAGCTCCCCTTTTGCGAATCGCTCGTAAATGGGAAGCTAGAAGCGCTGTGATCGAGTATGTAGCGTCCGTCTGCTCCTTCCGAGCCCGTCTTGCAGTACGTCCCTGCGTTCTCTTTTTTGTGTAATGTCGTCTGGTTAAAGCCGTGGGCCAACTATCAGCTTCAACTTCAGGGTATTATAGCTTGAAACTTGGTAGTCCCACGCAGTTCAGTGGCGAGAGGTTTGTCTTGTGCGAGATTCCAATTTTTTCGTCCAATAAGGGTCCCGTTACGCACACTCCATATTTGTCCTGCAACTGTTCCTAAGAAGTTGCACCCCGCCTTTAAGAGACGGCAAAACTACGTAACTTCTGTCATCTCTCCTTCGCCCAAGTTTTAGTCCCTGTTTCTTCGTTATATGGTTCTTGTGGATCCGATTCTGCTCGCGGCGACGACGCGGACGACCCCGACACGGCGAGCAACGGCGGCTTTTTGAACCGACTGTCTGCTCTGCCTGCTACGCCTTCTCCCGATATCTGTCTGCGACGCTCTCCAGAGAAGAGTTACCGTGGGGCGTCTGCCATATACACTGGGCGAACGTCCTGCGTTCGCTCTCACAAATTAAGGTTGTCGCGGATCTGGTCGCTGAGACTACGGTACGCGGACGGCACGGACGACGCGGACGACGCGAACCACTCCTACGACGCGGACGGCCTGGATACGAGGAACGGCGCCCGAAATGACCGGAACGAGATTCCTGCTTCCTCTGCTAATGCCTCTCCCTCCTCTCCTCTCTTCTCTCTTTCCCGTCCTTCCTTCCCGACACCCTCCTCTCCCCCACTTCTCCTCCAACCCCTGCGTATTTCCCCTCTTGATTTCCGCAGAAAAGAGTTCTTGCGGGTCGTCGCGCGGCGGCGGCGACGCGGACGACGACGACACGGCGAGCACCGCGTCATCGTCGAGCGACCTCCCCGCCGTGCACTCCGGCGCGCGCGACGACGTCTACTGCGCGGCGACGGCCACGGAAGCGCTTCTAGACGCGCTGCAGGAGAAGCGGTAAGTTGGGTGGGTGCGACCTATGTTGAGGATGTCTCATTATGGGCGGGGTTTTTCCGAATATTTACGTTGCCCATTACCCTCCGCTCTCCTCCCCCCTCGTCTGTCTCCCTTCCTTTCCCTCTCCCTTCTCTCCCCGCTTGTGCGCCCCTGCCAAGTTGCTGCCGATCACTCTGGCGTCCCAACTGCCCATCCAATCCGCCCTCCTCTGCGTGTGCGCCCCTACCAGGTCAACAACGCGCGAGGCGGCACTCAAAGGGCTGGCGACCACTCTGGCGTCGCAAGTTCACGGGGAGCTCGTGCAGGACAAGTAAGGCTTCTGAAGTGGGTGTTTGCATGGGGAGAAAAAGGGGAGGTGGTTTGTGTGTGTGCATGTGCATGGGCGAGTGTGGGTGTGTGTGTGCGCGCTTGTGTGTGGGCAGGTGAGTGCGTGTGTGTGCGCGTGTGTGTGCGCGTGTGTGCGTGTGTGTGCGCGTTGACACCCTCTCGCAGGCTGTACTCGCCTGTCGCATGTCCTCTCTAGTGACTCGTACCCCACCAGCTTAGCACACTCTTCCCTCCCTCCCGCCCCTTCCAATACCCCCAGGTTCGACACTCTCACACAGGGTTTCCTCTCGTGCCTTAGAAAGGGCAAGGCCCCTGAGCAAGTTCTAGCTGCCCGCTGCCTTGGTGAGTGCTCCCTGCTCTTGTACGTACTACCGATACCCCCTGCGCTAGCTCCTCACCTCGCCCCTGCCTCGTCTATTCACCCTCCCCTTCTCCCTCTTCCTCCCGAAGAGAAATCTCCTTTCTCTGTCTCCCGTTCCAACCACACGTCGGCTGGCGCTTATCTTAGGTGCTTCTGACTCACGCAAGGAGCTGCTCTCCTCGTCCCTGCCTTGTCTGTTTCTCCCTTCCCTCTCCTCTCCTCCCCGCTCGCCTCTCGATTCCCAACCCGTCTGCTCTCCTCAAATGGCCCTTCTTTCTCTTTTCCCTTCTTCCCCACCCCCACCCTTTTTCTCCCCCTCCCCTCAAACCCCAGGTCTGCTGGCGCTCACCTTGGGGGCGTCTGACTCGTGCGAGGAGCTGCTGTCCTCGTCGCTGCCGCATCTGAGCAAGCTCGCTCGCGCTGCTGGCTGTGCCGCCACCCGCGTTGCTGTGAGTGGGGTGTTCAAAAGAAGGGAAGCGAGGTTAAGCGGGGAAAAAGAGGGGAGGAGGGAGGGAGGGAGGGAGGGAGGGAGGGGGGGAGAGAGGGGGGGAGGGAGGGAGGGAGGGAGGGAGGGAGGGAGTGGGGGGAGGGAGGGAGGGATGGAGGGGGGGATGGAGTAGGGGGATGGAGTAGGGGGAGGGAGGGAGGGCTGCACATGTTACAGAAGGATTTGTTCTGATGCACCTCACAACGCCCCTTCCCATCCTCTCCCTTCCGTTACACTGTCCCCCTCCTCCGGCCCCTATCTCCTCTTTTCACCTTTTCTTCTCTAGACGCGCGCCGTTGCCATCATCACACTCTGGTGCACCTCATAGTGTCCCCTCCCCTCTTCTCCATCGCCTTGTTTCCTCACCTCTGCCTGGCCCCTTCCCTCCTCTCCCCCTCCTGCACTGTCTAGACGCCATGGCCATCATAGCGTTCGTGGGGGCCATGGACGCACATGCCACAGAGGAGAGAATGTACCGTTTCTTAATATATCTCACGATATCCCCTCTCCGTCCTCCCTCTGAGTGTGTCCCACCGCCCTGATCACCTTCCCCCATCCAGTGTCTAGACGCCATGGCCATCATCACGTTCGTGGGGGCCATGGACGCACATGCCACGGAGGAGAGCATGGGCCTGCTGTGGCTTGTCGCCAATCCCCAGGTGAGGTGCAGGGTTTAGGCTTCAGAGCCCAAGGTTTTGGGTCCAAGAGCTTGGGGTTTGCTAGCATTTGCACATGCCACGGAGGAGAGCATGAGCCTGCTGTGGCTCGTCGCCAACCCCCAGTGATGTTCAGGGTGGAGGTTTCAAGGTTCAAGGATTGGGTCTTAAAGTCTGGCGTTTACTAGGTATCGCGCATGCTACAGGGGAGAGCATGCGCCTGCTGTGGCTCGTTGCCAACCCCCAGGTGAGGTGCAGGGTTTAGGTTTCAAGCATGAGGGTTTGGGGTTCACTAGCTATTGCTGATGCTACAGGGGAGAGCATGAGCTTGCTGTATAGCTCGTGGTTAACCACCAGGGGAGGCGTCTGGTCTGGTTTGGCTGGTCTTGTTATTTGGGGACGAAGTCACTTTGGAGTCGACTCAGAAGTCACCTCGTTCGGGTGGTCGTGTTACTTGGGAATGAAGGAACGACCATGCTTCAAAGAACAGCATGTGCCTACCCTCGCTGGGAAAGAGCTTTCCCGTCAGTCACCAACTGGATAAGTGTACCTTCCTTCCAACCCAACGCACTCAACACCCCTCGTTCCCCACCCCCGTTCTCGCTTTCCGTCCTCAGGGCGCCAGCAAGGCGGTGGTGCTGGCAGCAGTGAGGAGATCAGCCATCAGCAACTGGACCCTGCGGCTCTCCATCTTTACCAACCCTCTCAACCAACTCACTCTCAACACCCGCCGCACCCTGCCCCCCTGAACCTCTTCTTTCTTTCTCTCACCAGGGCGCCAGCAAGGCGGTGGTGCCAGCGGCAGTGAGGGGATCAGCCATCAGCAACTGGACTCTGCTGCTCTCCACACTGCCCTCCTCGCAGCTCTCGCAGTTCCACACTCGCAGGTGCGTCAACTCTGCGACCATAGATTCGTCAGCTCCTTGGCTTGTGGTGCCTCTAGACTGTGCCTCTGGCCCTTCTCGTATCTCCTGGCTCAGCTCTTGCCAACTGCAACCCCACACCCAGTGTGCCGGAGGTTCTACCCCACTTCCTGCAAGACACGGACCTGGGTGTCACAGCCCTCGTGCTCCCTCCCTCCCTCCCTCCCTCCCTCCCTCCCTCCCTCCCTCCCTCCCTCCCTCCCTCCCTCCCTCCCTCCCTCCCTCCCTCCCTCCCTCCCTCCCTCCCTCCCTCCCTCCCTCCCTCCCTCCATCCGTCCCTCCTTCCCTCCCTCCCTCACTATCCCCTACTCGTCTCGCTCTCCTCTCTCCCTCCCTCACACCGCCGAACCAGTGAGCTGGAAGTTCTGTCCCGCTGCCTGCAAGACGCGGATCTGAGTGTGAGGGGGGCGGCAGGCGAGGCCATAGCGCTCGTGCACGAGCACTGCCCTGCAGACGCTGCAGCTGAGGCTGTGACCGCTGCAGGGACGGGAGGAGGTTCGGCGAATGGCTTGGCAAACGGTGGTGTGGAGAGCAGTGACTCGGATGACTCTATCGTAGATGGGGTGGTGCTGCCTGATAAACCCGTGGGAGGTGAGTCGACCCAGACCCTGAGGTTGCAGAGCTGTGCTATGCTGTGCGGTGCTGTGTGGTGCTGTGCTGTGCTGGGCGGTGCAGTGGAGAGCAGTGTCTCGGATGACTCTATAATGGATTGGGTGGCGCTGCACGATAAACCTGTGGGAGGTCCCTCGTGCACCTCTGTCCTGAACAACTGTGGCAGGCGGCAGCAGATATCTTGAGTTCCAATTCATCTCCCACCGTATGCCCCATTCCCCATGCCCCGTCCATAAGTGAACGCTAAGAAGGCAGCAGGGCTGTGCAGAGGGCATGGAGCTGATGCAGCAGATGGCGGTGGGAAGCAGCAAGCAAATGACCAATGCAACCCATTCCCTATGCCCCACGGCTCACACCCCATACCCCATGCCTCGTGCACCCCTCTGTTCTTCACAGGACGGCGCCAGGGCAGTGTTACTGTGCAGAAGGCGGTGGAGCAGATGCAGCAGCTGACGGTGGGCAGCAGCAAGCAGATGAGGTGACTGTTAGTTCAACTCATACCTCATGCCCGTGCCTCGTTCACCTTTTTTTTTTTTCATATGACAGGTGGGCGCCAGGGCAGTGCAACGGTGCAGAAGGCGGTGGAGCAGATGCAGCAGCTGACGGTGGGCAGCAGCAAGCAGATGACCAAGAAGGACCGCCTCTCCCAGCGGCTGGCGTTCAGGGAGATCCTCGGATCCATCCGGGTGAGTGTGTTTCTGCTGAGATGCTATTCGTGAGGCAATTCCCTCACGTGGTTCAGAAGGACCGCCTCTCTCAGCGCCTGGCGTTTCGAAAAATCCTCGGGTCCATCAGGGCGAGTCTCTAATGCTTGCTGTCCTGATGAGATGTGGGCGGGTGTATGGGAAGAGTGCAGCAGCCAGCCAGCGCTCCCCAGCGTGAATGCACGTTTCTCTGAGCCGGTTGTCAGGTGTGGAGCGGTCTAGCCAGCTCTTCCTCCCCCATCCTCCCCAACCTCCTCCCCACCCTCGTCTCCTCTACCCCACTCCCCTCCAACCCCCTCGACATCAGGCTGAAGCACGGCGACCATACCTCCCTCCCCTCCTCCCCTCCTTCCCTCCCACTCCCTCCCACTCCCTCCCACCCCCTCCCGCCCCCTCCCGTCTCCTCGCATCCTCATCAGGACAACGGGCGTTGCTCCGAGACGGTCATCAGGCTGAAGCACGGCGACTCACTGCGCGTCGACACGTGGACGCTGACAGTGCAGGTGAGTGGTGGACACGTGGACGCTGACAGTGCAGGTGAGTGGTTGACACGTGGATGCTGACAGTGCAGGTGAGTGGTTGACACGTGGATGCTGACAGTGCAGGTGAGTGGTTGACACGTGGATGCTGACAGTGCAGGTGAGTGGTTGATACGTGAGGAGAGACAGCAAGCAAGGCAAGGCGTGTTTGTGTTGTGCTTATTGCTGTGAGGGCATGACCACTCGTACTGACGCCTTGCTTGCTAGCTCAGTACCTTCATTCCGTCACCACCTTTTGCCCTGCTTCAACCCTCTATTCTTCCAACCGTTGCCCGCCTTCTTCCCCTCCTGTCCCCCATCCCCCCACCAGCTGAATGCTCTCCGGAGGTTTCTAGCTGACGGCTTTCAACGCCATTTGCAGGTGTGTCCTCCCCTCCTGCCGTTCTGCCCTCCTGCCTACCTGTCTCCCTCCCTCTCTTCCTCCCTCCCCCCCTCCCTCCCTTCTCCCTCCCTCCATCCCTCTCTCCCTCCCTCTCTCCCTCACTTATTGTTGATCCCTCGTCTCATCGGCACCACCAGCAGGGACAGGGGGGTGCCCATCCTCCCTGTCCCCCGCACTGACGCCATCCCCCTGGGATGCCGTCAGCATCAGTGCCAACACTGACTGAGTCCGCTGCACTGTTCCTTTGGGCTGCTAGGGCCGTTTCTTAGAGCTTCCTTGGCGGTTTTTCCAACTGCCTGGGCTGTTTTCCAAGCTGCTTTTGCGGTCTGATGAACTGCTTTGGTGGTTGTTCAAGCGGTCTTGGTGGTTCTTTAAGACGGCTCTGGCTGATCTTAGGGCAAGTGCGGCGGCCCCTAGGCTGGGCTGAATTCGTTGGCAGCAGCGCGTGTTGGCCATGGGTCCATGTGGTCCATGGCTCCACGCGTTTGTAGCTGCTGATGCCAGACTCCCACCCACATGCTTTGGGAGGCTTCATACGAGAAGCAGTAGGGATGGTTCAGAACCTATCGCTCCTTCTCCCATCCCATTAACGCAACCAGGCGCCCATCAGGGCTTCATCAGGCCTGCAGCTACCAGCTACCATTTGCACTATGCATCTCCAAACCAACTGCCCAACTGCGCTCCCTCCCACTCCCTTCTTCTCTCCCGCCCTCGCTTTCTAATCCCACAGTTCTTGGATTTAACAACTCGGTTTTTGTGAACCATCTCAATCCTCCACTCAATTCATCTCAATCCTCTATTCCATCCACAGCACAATCCTTGTCTCATCGGCACCAGCAGCAGGGATGGGAAGGCTCCCATCCTCCCTGTCCCTCCCACTGACCTCATCCCAACCTTGGGGTGCCGTCACTGCGGTGCCGACACTGACTGGGCCTGCTGCACTGCTCCTTAGCACTGCCTCCGTGGTTCTTAAACTGCCTTGACGGTTTTTTGGACTGCCATTGGCAGTTTTACGAACTGCTCTGGCGGTTCTTACGACTGTCTTGGCTGTTTTTATTAAATGCCTTGGTGGTTTTGAGGGTGGCTGTGGCGGTTTCCTAGGCTGGGCTGAATTCGTTGGCAGCAGCACGTGTGGACCATGGCTCCATGAGTCCACCCACGTGTCTGTAGCTGCTGATGCCAGACTCTCACCCACACTGCCGCCTTTAGGGACCTTGAATCACACTCCCACACGCCATGAGACTCTTCAGACACACACACACCCATTCGGTCCCACTACCCTCCTCCTAGTCCCTTTCCCCCATATGCCTCCCCCCACAAAAACCAACACCTTTTCTCGTCTCCCACCCCTCTCCAACCCCCTCACCCCTTCCCCCTCCCCCCCTTCCCACCCTTTCCCTCCCACTTCGCCAGTAGAGCGAGCTGCTGCACCAGGTCTTCAGCTACCAGGCTTTCATGGAGAAGAAGAAGGTGTTTCAAACCCACCCCCACTCTCCCCTTCTGCCCTCCCACCGGCCCCCGCCCTCCTTCCGCCCTCCCCCCTCACACATACCACCAGGAGAACGAGTTGCTGCACCAGGTCTTCAGCTACCAGCCTCGCATGGAGAAGAAGGAGGTTTTCCAAACAGCCGTGCAGAAGGTGAGCGGTGGGCCGTGGTGGGCAGTGGTGGGCAGTGGTGGGCAGTGGTGGGCAGTGGCAGGCAGTGGTGGGCAGTGGCGGGCAGTGGTGGGCAGTGGTGGGCAGTGGTGGGCAGTGGTGGGAAGTTGTGACAGCACAGCTTTGCACAGCTACCAGCCTTGCATGGAGAAAGAGGTGTTCCAAACTGCAGTGCAGAAGGTGAGTGAGTGGTGGGCAGTGGTGGGCAGTGGTGGGCGGTGGTGGGCAATGGTGGGCAATGGTAGGCAGTGGTGAGCAGTGGTGACATAGCACAGCTCGGCACAGCTACCAGCCTTGCATGGAGAAGGAGGTTTTCCAAACCGCCGTGCAGAAGGTGAGGGGGGGGGTGCAGTGGCCAAATTGGGAGGTGATGTTCTCGAATCTTCAAAAGCCGTGCAAAAGCTGAGTTAAATGGCATCCTCCCCCAATCCCCTCCTTCCTCCACATCCCCTCCTTCCTCCACATCCCCTTCTTCCTCCACATCCCCTCCCCCATCCACATCCCCCCCCCACCTCCATATCCCCTCCCCCCTCCACAACTTCCCTTCTTGGCAAATGGCCCTCTTGCCGTGCCCATACTTCCAGTCTCAACTGCTCCCATTTGCTCCCTGGCTCGCATCCTTGTGCTGTATGAGCTCAATTCTCTTCACCCATTCGTCCTGTCCTTTCCTCCTCTTTCCCCCTATTTCTTGGCTCTGCTTCCCCCCTCACCTCTCCTTCAGCGCATGATCCTCTCTCCCAACTCGGATGCCAGTCGCAACCGCTCTACGGCTCGCAGGCTTGTGGGTGCATCAGCTCATCTCTCTCCAACCACTTGTCCTGCCTTCCCTCCTCTCCCCACTATTTCTTTGCTCCCCCAACCCCACACCCCCCTCCCCACCTTCAGCCTTGGATCCTCTCTCCAAACTCCGCTCTGTGGCTCGCAGGCTTGTGAAGCATTGCACCTCTCAATCCTCCGCCATTCGTCCTGCCCTTCCTTCCCCCGCCCCGCTATTTCTTGACTTGGTTTTCCCTCCTCTCAGCGTATGATCCTCTCTCCCAACTCCGAGGCCAGTCGCAACCGCCCCATGGCTCGCAGGCTTGTGGGTGCATCAGCTCATCCCTCTCCACCAACTCCTGCCCTTGCCTCCACTCCCCACTATTTTTTTGCTCCCCCAACCCCACACCCCCCTCCCCACCTTCAGCACAGCACATTTTCCTCGCTCCCAACTTGGATGCCAGTTGTAACCGCTCTGTGCCTCGCAGGCTTGTGGGTGTATCAGCTCATCCCTCTCCACCCACTTGTCCTGCCCTTCCCTCCCTCCTCCGAGGCCAGTCGCAACCGCTCTTTGGCTCGCAGGCTTGTGAAGCATCAGACGCACCCGCTCAATCCTCCGCCATTCGTCCTGCCCCTCCCTCCTCCACCCTGCTATTTCTTGGCTTGGTTTCCTCTCCTCTCAGCGTATGATCCTCTCTCCCAACTCCGAGGCCAGTCGCAACCGCTCCGTTGCTCGCAGGCGCAGCCGTCTCGCAGCACAGGTCAGCTCAAGTCAACGCTGGTCAATGCAAGTCAATGAAGGTCAAGTCAGGTCAGGCCCAGCCGTCTCGTTACACAGAGGTCAGCTCAAGTCAACGCTGGTCAATTCAAGTCAATGAAGGTGAAGTTAGGTCAGGCGCAGCTGTCTCACAGCTCAGGTCAGCTCAAGTCAACGCTGGTCAATGTACCAATAATGCTCTCATGTATACCAATGATTTGTTTTTTCTGCCCTCCTGGTTGTGCCTCTCCTTTTCCTGCCCTCCTGCCTCTCTCCGTTTCCCGACCCTGCCTCTCGTTGCCTGATCTCCCTTGCAGGAAAGCAACTTCTCTTTTTTCGCTCATGACGACTGACCTTGGAAACACATTCGGCTACGGTACTACTGTACCATTTTTTGGAAATACGGTAGCCGTGTACATTCAAAGCAACTCTCCTCTTGCACCCTCCAACTATTACAAGCCCCTAATATGGGTTGTTTGTGAAAAAAGCCTACAATGATCGTGCTGGTAACCTGTATTGAAACTTGCCCCATATGGAGATTAATTATAGCCAACATGCATGTCCTACAATTTGCACCAGCTTTGGCAAGGTATTCTTGTGAATAAAATTTCGACATTCCTTACCGCGCATCTCAACATCGTGGTAAGAACCGACCGTTTCGTCGCCTGTCACTGACAACGGTGTTTCGCTGCCTTCGCGCGCCACATTTGCCGAACCTTGCATCGCTGGCCTGGCCAAGTCGGCCTACCCTTCGGGACTAGCCCGAACCTCATCGCACTAGCTAGCTCGCACACATCGCGTTATTGTTTGCATGTTTCGCTTATACCGTAAGTATTCGCTCATACGGTACCTTCGCTCATACTTGTACTTTTGCCCACTTAGGGTACATTCTTGTGGGGACACAAGTGTCTCAATGTTGTTTTTCCCGAGTCGCATCTAAATGTAGTCAACCTCGCGTCTCAAAATGCGAATGTATTGTGACACTGTGCGACCTGGCGACATGTATACGGTAGTTGTTCGCATCTGATTGGGTGACACAAATTGCACCCGTAACACTTGGTCTCATAGCCACTTTCCTTTTCGGACCGCGCATTTCCGCACCCACCAGAACTCAACTTATGATTTTTTTCGCTCGAAGAGACTCACGCCCCTTAGCGTACTAGGAGCTGCTGTCCTCGCGCTCTCTCGCAAGCGCGTGCAGCCACGACTGCGCCTAGCACCTAGACCGGCCGACGTCCTTCGACATGGGAGAACGTGTTGACATCACTAACCTGACGCAGGAGCGCCTGGACGAGTTAACGCGCCAACTGCATAAAAGGCACGAAGAAATCGCCACGTTAACGGCAGAACGCGCGTCACTGCAAAATGACATCACCCAAGCGCAACCAGCATATATTAAAACGCAAGGAACAGCAGCACAAGGAGCACCATCCGCCGCCCAACACGTGAGTGTGGGACAACACTCGAGCGCTGCTAGTGATGGCGTCGCACGCAACGACGTTCACGACGACCATGTGACAACACATCCTAGAGCGACGAATGCGGCTGGAAGTCAGCGTCGCGTCAACATTTCGACGCAGATCGATGAGTCGGCTCTCCCTTCACCAATGCCGCTCAGGCCGCAGCGTCCGCCATGCTTCGACCCGAGTCAACATTGATGGTCCTGTTAACGGGAATGGAGTGTTGGCCCCGCCCTCGCTTGGGCAACGCTGACGACTTGGTCGGATGTATGGGAGTAGCAGCCGACCGTTCACAGTGGGAGAGCTGCTCGACAGGCTTGGTCGAGCTGCAGGGGACCGCTGTGTTGTTGCTGTCGACCAGGGAGCTCGACAGTTGCAACAGACTGGTCTGGGCGACGAAAGGGGTCCGTCGACCAGGGGGTAGCTCGACGGGAGCTGTGGTCGACCAGAGGGACCTGGTGGTCGACCAGAGGGACCCAGTGGTCGACCAGAAGCACTTGGTGGTCGACCAGGTCGACCGGGTAACCTGTTCAACGAGTTATGCGGAGGCACGCGAACGTCGTCGAGGTCGCGATGGCGAAGGCGACTTCGGGCTGGTATCCCGAAGTCGATGTGGCTCGTCACTCGCAGACAACAGCCGACGGATGCACAACGGTGCAAGTCGGGCCAATCGTCTGCGCGCACCTACGAGCGTGCGCACTGCTGTGTTCTACGGGGCAACGCTGGACAGCCGCTTTGCTGCAGCGTTGGCACGCCGTCGACTTGCTCTGTTGGCAGGTCGCCCTTCTGCAGTGCTGGCGCGGCTCCTCTACGCAATGCTGGCAGGCGGTCGACCAAGCTGTGCTGGCAGTCGATCAGGCTAGCTGCAGAGTTGCTAGGTGCCTGATGTAGTCATTGTTGTCATTGCTTGTTCAACCATTATGTAATGTAATCTTTGCCTAGTGGAAGCTCTTGCCGATTTCTCCCGTGAACGTGCAAGCGCTAAGGAACTAAGCAAAGCTACGATCACTCCTAGTAGTTCGTGCCAACCCCCCGTAGTCTAGCTCACTACCATTGTAGAGTGAATCTCCGCATGGTGCGGTGAGCGTGGACGACCCCGCAGATTACCTTTAGATAGGAGCCGACTTTTGCACCTACTAAGTCGTTCGTAGGCCGGCAGCAGCGTTAGTCACCATGGTCGACCCCGTAGCTGATGCCGGTGTAGCGGACACCTTGGAGGCCCGCTTGGCTGATGCGAGGAGACGCCACGCGGATGGCGAGTACGGGACGATCCCCTTGGTGATCGCGAGTTGGGCATCTGGTTGCAGTGGGCGACGGAACACCCTTCCCGTCCGGCATCTCCTCGACCGGTGCGCAACGAAGGTGGCATCGACGACGAGGTCGACGGAGGTGCACGAGTCAGCGGCAGCAAAGGCACGAAGCAGAGAGGGGTGATCAAGGTAGACGGTGGTGTCGACGGAATCCAGGCGCGAGTGCAGCGGTCGACGGCGGCTGCAGGCAGCTCGCGTGCCGACGTCGATGGTCGACGTCGATCTCCTCTACGAAACGGTGGAGGGCTCTCGGCGACGACGCATGTGACGGCGGGCGGGATTGCACCGGCGTATGGCTACTTCAAGTTCTCGCCAGACTGGATCACCGTCGCACCGCTGCAAGGTCGACGGGACCTCATCACGTGGAGGGAGTCGATAGAACCTCAGCTGGAGGTCGCCGGGCTGAAGGGCTTCGCCGACGGCACCGTGCCAATTCCGCCCGTGGACGATGTCGAGCTGCGCGGGGAGTTTCGTGCGACTCACTTGCTCACCTTCATGGTCATCTCGAGGTGCGGCTCACTGGTGGTGCAGCTGGCGCTCAGGTCCTGTCGAGAGCGACTGGACGCCGGTCATCAAGCATGGTACTTCATCCTGTCGACGTACCAGGTGAAGGATGACCTGTACATCGGACTGCTGGAGGAGAAGATGACACACATTCGGATGGGCAAGCAGGAGTCGGCGACGGACTACTGGAACCGTGCTCGACGGATCCTGGTTGAGATGCGGATGGCGGGCGCCGAATACCCGACGTCGTCCTACATCACCCACGTCCTCAAGGGCCTGCCGCGCAGCTACAACCTCATGAAGAGGTTTACGATGGTGCCCGGCACACGTGAGTCCCTCGACGAGGACTCCCTCACCAGCTACATCCTCCAAGACGAGGCAATGCCGGAGGCCGAGCAGCCCACGGAGCTCCTTCTGCAGGCGAATTACGCTGCACCGACGAAGCCGAATCAACTACAAGGGCAGCGCGGGAAGCCGGGCGGAGGTGGTAGCGGAGGTGGGCGGTCGACGAGAAGAAGTCGACGCGGGGCAAGGTCCGTGGAGGTGGTGGTCGACAGCGGGAGTGCTGGATCTGCGGCGACCCCGACCATCTTTCCTACGAGTGCCCCGATCGCGACGACAGCGACGAGGACGACACCAAGGGAGGCCGTGGCCGGTCGACCAGCCATCGCCCCCGTCGAGATGAGAAGCGGCGCAAGGAGAAGCAGCCGTCGAAGAAGACGCCGTCGACGAAGGACGTCGATAGCTCCAGCGGCAAGGGCCAAGGCGACGGGGAGGCGTCGTGCTCGATGGTCAGCGTGGTGGAGCCGACAGTCTCGCTAGCACCGGAGGCTGGAGAGGACTTCCAGGCGGTGGCGGCAGCTGTGCAGGCCAACCCGATGGCGGTGCTGCTCGACAGCGGGTGCTCCCACCACCTGATGGGGACGAAGGCGGTCTTCGTTGACATGGTGCCGAGCGACGGAGTGAAGCACGTGCGTGGATTCAACGGGGCGCTGCAGCCTGTCGAGGGTCGCGAAACCGTCGCTCTACAAGGGGAGGCCGGGAAGCAGGTCCTCATCCCCGACGTGCTCTACGTTCCGGGCGTACAGGCGAACCTGCTGTGAGCTAGCCAGCTGAAGGAGAGCAGAGTACAGCTGCAGGTCTCGTCGCCGCGACCGGGGAGGTGCTCGGTCGAGCACGCAATCGCCGTCGACCGAGGTGGTAGCTCAGCGGACGATCGTCTCGGCGACGAGTCGACCCCTGACCGGTTGCATGCGAGGCTCGCGCACGCCGGCATCGACACGATCAAGAGCTTGGCGAAGCATGAAGTTGTTGCTGGGCTCGACATCACTCCGTCGACCGGAGCAGACCCGCCGTGTGTCTCGTGCGTCGGAGGAAAGCTGTCGCGGCACACCTTCCCCGCCAAGGGCTCGGACGCCGAGGAGGCACTGGCTGTCGTGCACATTGACTTGTGCGGGCCATTTCGGGTGGCTGCCAAGGATGGCAGCTTGTACTTCCTGCTGCTGAAGGATCGCCACACTCGGTTCGTGTGGGCAATGACGGTCGCTAAGAAGAGCAACGTGCTGCGGGAGTTCCAGAAGTGGCTGGTGCTGGTGGAACGGCAGGCGAAGAAGTCGGTACTGTCGCTTCGCTCCGACCGGGGAGGGGAGTTCCTCGGAAAGGATTTCACCAACTTCGTCGACGGGAAGGGCATCGTCCACGATTTGACGTGCCCCTACACTCCGCAGCAG